GAAGACCCCATTTGTAGCAGCTTCTTGGTGATGCTTATGGAGTGGAAGTGTGAGAGCCCCTGGACTGGACTTGGGGGATAGTCTGATGTGATTCTTGGTCAGTTTGGCATCGTGACACAGAGCCACGGGTGGGTAAAGGCTGGGGGTGAGGTCTTTCCTTTGCTCAAACAGGGAAAGAGGTAATGATTAGCCTGTATCCCTTAGTTTTACTCTGTAGCTCTGGCCAGAAGGAAACAGAGATATATATATATAACTAAGATTTTTTAAAAAATTGCATCTGTCATAAGCCACTTCAGGACAGTTGCTATGGGGTGGACTCTGAGTGACTGGCCTTTACCCTGGAGAGGCTGTGTGTGCAAGTGAGGCTCACCTGCTTTTGGATCCCCACAGCTTGGGCTCCTGGACAACACTGGGGGCCCACCTGCCCATCATCCTCAAGGCAGTGCCAAGGCCAGGGATCGAGGCAACTTGGGAAAGACTGTTTGTGAGCCAGCCTTTTGATAAGGGCCAGCTGTTTATCCTTGATTTCCCAAAGTTGATGTTGTGACTAATGGCCTTGTTTATTCAGTGCCTCAACTCCTACCTACTGACAGGAGCCAACTGCCCCCTCTAACACACGAATTTAGTTACAAACAGCAGATACTTCTGCTTCCCTTTATCATTCAACTACCCAAAGCTGCTGTCATCAAACAGATCTTCATCTCTGCCAAGTTAGAGACATTGGGGTGATCTTTGGGTATGGCTGAGGACTTTAAGGCTCAGTCCTAGCACCCCTTATGGCAGCTCCACACCCAACCCCTGGGAACTCCCTTCCTGAAGCCCCTTGGAGTGAGTACCTGGCTCTGTGCCCTGTTTCCTCCCACAAGCCACTGGGTGATGATTCCTGAATATCTGAAGTTGAACACCCTGTTTAAGACAGTGGTCCCGTTATTATGACATTGCACTTTTGGAATTTGCTGGGTCAAAGAGCACACAACACTGAGTTCAGTAAGACTTTTCACGGGATTTGTGTTTTATCTATCATTCAAATAAAGCAGTCTGTGAGAGATGTTAGTGACTCTGGGGGGAGTCGGAAACCACCCCTTCGGCTGTGGGGTGATGGAGTGACAGTGGGTGCAGACTGACAGCCTCTAGCCAGCCTGGAGTTTTAAACCCTTGGGCTCACCATCCTCACTTGAATCTCTGTGAGATGCCCATTGGATATCCTGACCTATGACCTTGCCCTCGATCTCTTGGTGTGAGATGCCGTAGCACAAACTACCCCACCTCCTCAGTCCCAGAGCACCTGAGCTGCCAGGCAGTGGGCTCCACTCTGATGTACGGCCCTCCATATGACCAGTGCAGTGGTGAGGGACTGGCAGCAATAGGCTTGAGGCTGTCTTCTTGAAACTTCTCTGCACACATCTCCAGAGCGCCTTTTGGGAATGGTTGGTGGCAGAGTGACATAGGGCCTCCGTTCCTGAGTAGTTGACCCTGGTCTTACCCACGTCATCTCTTCACCTTTAAAATGTGGGCTGACAGCCTTTATCTCAGCCACTGGGGTTGAAACAGGAAGTCTTACTGGATGAAATTCTTACCCCATGACTTCTCCAGCCTGCTAAGATGGGCTCATCCAGGTAAGGTGGTCCTTCAGGGTTGGGGAGAGGGAGATGCCTGGTGAGTAGAACAAGGGTTGCTCCAGAAGTCTGCAGACACTGGTGAGGTGGCCTTGGGTAAGTCACTTAACTTTCTGAAATTCAGTTTCTTATCTCTCAGAGACATTCATCTCAGCTCTGCCTACCTTCCTGTGCAGGTGAGGAGTAGGAATTAAAGGCAGTAATGGCTGGGAAGTGTTTTCCAGCATGAGAGAAAGCGTTGCTCCTTTCACACCCTCTCCTCATCTCCAAGTTTTCCTTCCCACTCAGGAACTCAGTGTGGCAGCGACAGCGATGGGTTGATCGACCTTTCTAGCTCCCTGTTCCCATATTCCATGCTCCTGCCCCACTGTCTACCCAATCCTGTTCTGCCAAATGTTCTGGCTTCATACCAGTGGACTCCCAGTCTGGGCTGTGGATGGGGAGCGTGCAGATTGTCCCTTGCTTTGGACAAGCTGAACATGCAAAAGATTAGACCTCATTTGCCACCAGGCTTTTGACTTGTTTTTATGTAAAGCTGATGTCCCTGGAACTTGCAAGGTTAAAGAGGCCCTGTTTAAGGCTTGCTTTTGCTTTTCTGGACAGCACTGGGGAGTAGGGTAGGGCTCTAAGCTGAGGCCACCTGTTTCTGACAGCTTGTTCCAGAGTGGTGGCTTAGGTTTTTTGTAAGGACTTGAGTCAGAGATGATGCTGAGGAGAACCCTGTGAGGCTTTGGAGGCAGGTTGCTGCAGGCTGTTTGTACAGCAGCTGCTAAATGAAACCGGAAGTCATACTCCAAACCCCAGAATCACCTGGCACCTGCGTGATCCAGATTCAACCTCAGCTGTTATTGCTGATTTCTCCACAGGACTGATGTCTTCCATTTCTCACAGAAGCTGGAGGGGATTTGGGAGGGCACCACAGCCCATCCCCTTTTTGGAGGCCTGCATGGAAGAGGGGAGAGGCTTCCCTGAGGCCAGAGAGCTAGTTTCAGTGGAGAAGCCATTTGCTTAAGAGCTTGTTGTATAAACAAGATTGCAGAGGGATAAGCTGAGCAGAGTTAAGGAACAAATTGTTTTTAGAGGCTGGGCAAACCCTGAGTCTTATCTAGTCATAAGAGAAGCTGGCTCTTGGGAAACTTAACCTGTTGGGATTTCTCTGTATAGTTGAGAGGCCTTGCCGCCCTGGTGCTCACCTGAAACTCAGCTGCACCATTCCTGGTAATACCTCCAGGTTGTACATGGTCTTGGTCTATCAGTATGTTTAGCATCTCTGCAGGCCTCACTTAGCTCATCTGTAAATTAGGGTCTGGACACGATAACTCTGGCTTCCTGTATAAGATTTGGCTCTGCTTTAAAATGCAGTTGAGACAAGTCTGGCTGGATCCTAGCTCTCCTGCCCCATAAGGAGCTTTCTCTCCAAGGGAAGGAGTCAGGAAAGGCGCTTGTCAGGGCCTCCCCAGGAGCAAATAGGGCAGGACAGAGGTATGAGTGAGCAAGATGAAGCTGTGATCTCAGTGGGAGCCTGGGACAATTGGCAGGTAAAGGGTGGTTTCCAATCTCAGCCTGCCTGCTGGACAGGATTCATGTTGCTGAAGGTACCCTTCCAAACCAAGTGGAGGCAGCACAGGTATTTGGAGCAGCAACCTGGGAACAGGACAGAAAGGATGTACCTTGGCTTTGGTGGGAAGCATTGACAATAACTGTTCAGAGCAGGTGAGCCAGGTGATTCAGCCAGGCCTGCTGGGGCCATTTCTATGTGGGGGTGGGGTGTGGAGAGACAGTTAGGGGTTTGTCCTTTCAAAGGAAGCTGACTGTAATTTGTGACCTCGCTTTCTACACATGTTGCATGCTTTTCTCTGATCCCAATCCTGGATGTAGAGCCTCTACCTGGCCAGGCTCTGCCCCAGGGCTGCTTCAGGAGGCCAAAGGTTTTGCCTGCCCCTCCCTGCTCTGCTCTACTCGAGAATAAGATCTCTTGGGCCTGTGGCTAGAACCAGGTGAGACCTCTGTGGGGCTGAGGAGGCGGGGGCTCCCAGGGAGCGGGAACTGCTCCTGACAAGTCTGTGTGGAAGCCTGTGCTCTCCTTGCCGCCCTTCTTGTGAAATCCATGCCCACCTCCATCTCACCCATTTTCTAGACCGGCCTGCTGGCTTCAGGACTGCTGTGTGCCCCAGATCACCTCTTCTTCATGCCAAGCCACTTTTGCTCCTCTTGAAAGAGCAGCAACCACTGTTGGGAGCTTCCTTCTGTGCAAAATCTCAATTATTATTGTCCCCATTTTACAGATGGGGAGACTTAGGCTGTGAAAGATTCAGTGACCTTCCCAGGGCCACTCAGCTAGCAAGTGCTGCGTGATGCTGTTCTGCTTCCTAATTTAGTCTCTGTCATGGTCTCTGTCACTGGGGCCCTGTGTAACAGGATCATTTGGGTCAAAGTCTGGTTGCTGTTCAGACTCCTATGCTTGCCCCTTCCTGCCACCTGACGGTTAGGTCCTCGTTTCTCTATCTGCTTTCCTGGGGCCAGTGTTGTGTGTGTGTGTGTGTGTGTGTGTGTG